ATCATCTGAAATCTTTGCCTATTCTACCGTATACTGAGTGCAGAGCGCGTTTATTGATTGGCTTGGATAACACCAAACTTGTGTTCCACTGGAGGTACATCAGGTTAAGGGCGACGAGCTTATAGCTGCGCGTTGTAAAAGGTCAGTTTACGGTCACGACAAGTCCACCCAGCCGTTGCGGGAAAGTTTGCTGCACGTATGTACCTGCAACAAAGACAATCAACTAGATAGCTTGATGAGGACGTATTTTTCCGTCGAGGCAGTGGGTATCAGTTCTACTGTCCAACCGTTTAGGTCGAAGACAGATGAGTGCGATGCAGTCTAATGGAGAAAACAGTTAAATACGTCGCCAGCGATAGGAAACCGGTCTCGTATGAAAGTATGCCCAAGTTGATCTGCCCGATTCATAGCCTATGGCATGCAAGCGCCTCCAATATCTGGAGAGGAAGATGGAAAAGTCCACCGAGATGAAGGAGTTCCTCATCGAGAAAATAAAGGACTACATCGAAAGGGCTATGTAAGAAGATTGGCTGATGACAAGATACCTAGGGAGACAAATCTTGGCACATTCCTGTTTTCGCAGTCACGAACATCAACAAAAACAAAAAAAAAAAGCTTGTGTGGGATGCAGCGGCCATGGTGCATGACACCAGCTTAAACGACGTACTGCTCAAAGGCCCTGACCTCTTACGATCGCTGGTAGGTATTCTAATGCGTTTTCGCGAACGACCAGTGGCTATATGCGGGCATCCGCGAAATGTTCCACCAGATTCGAGTGTTTAAAGAGGATCAGGTGGCCCAACAGTTCCTTTGGCGAGACGGCGACAGCAACCGACGACCGGATGTGTTCGCCATGACCGTGATTACGTTTGGCGCATCATGTCCAACTACATAAAAGACAAGAACGTCCTACGTTTTGAGAAGGAGAGGCCCCGCGCGGTGACAGCAATCGTCTAAAACATATTTAAGGACGACTGGCTGCATAGCGTGAAAACCCCCATCACTCACACGCTCCTCCACGACAGAACATGTATAATCTATAAATTTTCTCCATTCATAGACGAATATGGGCTACTACGCATAAAGGGTCGGATCGATGAAGCAAGTGGAGTGGCAGCGAACCTACAACAACCGATAATACTTGCAGGAAATCACAGCGTTATTCATCTGATTACGGATTTCTACCACCGAAGGTTACATCACCATCATAATGAGATAGTTGTGAATGAGATGAGGCAGCGATTCTGCGTGCATGGTCTACAAGCATTGGTCAAAGCAGTCGCCAAAGCCTGCCAACAATGTCGTAATCGACCAGCTACTTCGCAAACACGGCCAAGTTTGGTAAAGTGTTGTAATTGCTTTAGCAAGTATTGTTAATTGTTGCTATTGCTTAAGCTAGTATTGTAAAGTGTTTGTTGTGCAATAAAGTTAGTTGTACTGTAATTTGGTCATCTTAAGCGTTTATTTAACTATCCAGCGATACAAGCCGAAAGGATTTTGGAAAATTCGTCAAGTAAATAAGGATAATCGTAACAGTATGTATGTAATAAATTAAAGGTATTGCAATTACCTTTCCAACCATATACTCTGTTTGAAAACCGGTGCAATAATTTTCGCCATATAAGCTTTTGAAAATATTTAAAGCTATACTTTAGGCACCCCTATCACCGCCCCTACTAATTTGCACCAAACCATGTCCTCTTCTTTTTTTCTATGTTACATGTTCAAAATCCAAGATATATACACTGTCATTTCTCTAAATATTTTATTCTAAATCTAAATTGTTCCTACTCTCTTTTTACCGACACTTTCCTGTCATTTAGGGTTTTCTTGAACGGGATGGTCAATAGTCCCTTTCTACTGAACCATATCACGTTTTGTAGTCCTTCTAGGCATTACAAGCCCATTAAGCTAACTATTTGTAGAACACATTTTGAAATGCATGATGATTTTCATTGCCTATGCCAGGACTTTAATAAGCATTACGACGCTTTTGACACCTTCAACTCATTTTTAACCACTAAGAAAACCTTACTTGAGATTTTGAATAAATAACAAGTAAACCTTTACATTGCCCCTTATCGTTCAGCTGGTGAACTGTATTTCTGTTCAGTTTATGGGGTAAACGTGGTCGACTCGCATACTTTCCCGACTGAGCCACGTTTGTGTGGGGCATTAGTAAACCAAACTTTGACCGACCAAACGCTTTTTTGCAACTAAATAAATTAATATCTTTAACCGGGAATGAAAAATTACACAATATCTATGGCTGCCTAGTACAATTTTAATTGGCTTCGTATACTTTCGCGACGGCGTAAGACTATACACAGCGCGGAGCTGAAACTAGAGCTTTCCGCCTGCCACACATTCAAAGTAATAACTTCGGGAACATGGACCGGAAACTCGGCCTTTCCGACCATGATCAACAGCTGGTCCACAGCGCGGAGCGGAAACTAGAGCTTTGCGCCTGCCACACATTCAAAGTAATGACTTCGAGAACATGGATCGGAAACTCGGCCTTTCCGACCATGATCAACAGCTTGTCCACAGCGCGGAGCGGAAACTAGAGCTTTCCGCCTGCCACACATTCAAAGTAATGACTTCGAGAACATGGATCGGAAACTCGGCCTTTCCGACTATGATCAACAGCTTGTCTACAGCGGGAACGGAAACTAGGTTTTTCCGCCTGCCGCACACAAAAGTAGACTGGAGTCTAGGCCTCGCCAGCTACCCAACCTGTTATTTTATATTATTATCATTATTATTATTACAAATTAATATGTATAATTAGTCTACTCTGTAATATATCACACATACTTAAACATCTAAATGTTTTATTCTCATTTGTCTGTAAGAAAACATTTTTCTGTAGACCAAATAAATAAAATAAAATATGAATAAAAGAGGATATAGTGATGGAAATATTTGCCGGCTAATTAAAAAGCAAAAAGAAATAAATGTGAACAAATTAAAATGTGGAATGGATGAAATAAATGAAAGCGAAGGAAAAAGCGTGCCGGTTGCAAAAGCAGTCCACACGCACCACTGCCGCTTGATCGCCACATTATCAAAAATTTGCAACAGGATAATCTGCCAGTTGAAGGCTTCTTTATTATTGATACACCATAAAAGGACACAGCAGAAACAGTTCCAGCAGCTACATTTGCCACAGCAGCTACAGTTCCAGCAACTTATTTTGTCACAAAAGCAGCACTTCCTTGAAGACCAGCATAGCGACTGCCAGCCACCACACCACGTCAGAAAGGTAATCTTATCAAGCTATCAGCAAAATATCTATTTCAATTCACACTGTTTTATTAAACATTTTCCTCCACAAATAAAGCAAACATTTGTTATTATTGTTAAGAATTACACACTAATACGCTGTTGTTTTTTTCACTTATTTTTCTTTACGTGCGAGAGTTAACGACGCTAACCTAAACACTAGATACATACACATATACATATAATCATTATTCACGAACCAAAATACATACAAACAACTATATGCCCTTTAACCTTGTATGATAACATAATAACAAAGAGAATACGATAGACAAGTATAAACCCGTAAACATCTTTTTAATAACATAAACAATTATATTCGGTGATAAGTAACAAAGCATTATGATAACATAATGCTAAACATGTAAACATCTTTTTATCACCAAACAAACAATAGTTAGAAATAGTATAAATAGATGTAAGTGTAAAAATGGAAAACAGTTCTGGAAATAAAACGAGACTGAAATAATCTCTTGTGTACTTTTAATTCCTAACAAGGACTCATAACTGGGGGCTCAACCGAACCTTAAGCCATTTTTCTATGTAAAAGGAATAGAGAAAACTAAATCCACGGGAAGAAAGACTTCCGGCACTACACGTTGAAAAAAGTGCTAAAAGAATCAACGAAAATCAAGTATAGATCCTGAAAAAACGGAATAATACTGATAACATAAACCGAAATCAACGGAAATCAAGTGAAAAAAACACAATCAAGTGTGCAAATAATAAAAAAACTCTGAAAATTTTAAACAAAAAAGTGAAGTGAAAAACCTGGATACCTTACGGAGACTCCGGAGAGGAAAAAAGCAAAAATCCTACGACGACTACAGAAATCTAAATAAATTTACAATGGAGCAACAACTGGCCCAACTAAATGCCCAGTTCACCACACTGATGAACGAGATGCAGCGACAAACAACGGAATTCACGGAGAGAATTGCCGCACTAGAGCAACAAAACGCTCCGGAAGAATTAGTTTTATACGAAGAAGTAAAACTAAATATTACTGACGCCAAGGATATCGACCTGGAGCTATTCAAATCCCTACCAAAATTTGACGGGGACAAAGTACAATACCGATCATGGAGATCACAAGTGTGGGCATTCATGGAAGCTATAAAGATCTTCCAAAATCACCCTAAATATTATAGTGCCCTGGGAATAATGCGGACAAAAATTACAGGACCCGCTGCTAACGTCCTTACGAACCACAACACCAAATTGAATTTTTATTCAATCATTAACAGATTGGATTACACATATGCAGACCAACGCCCACTATATGTGCTTCTTGATGAAATGAAGCGAATCACACAAGATAGAAAATCCCTTGCAGAATTCTACAGTGAGGTTTCAAAGGCACTCAATTTAGCCCTATCAAAAATTGAGATGTCCAATAATGACAAAGGGATGATAGCATACTAGACTGGGTCGAAAAAAAAAGTTGCTAATGTCCGCCCCTAAATTTAAAGATTATGTTGAGAGGGTTCTGGAAAAATTTTTTTTTTTTTTTTTAACCCTCCGAAATACAGCCGAAATGGTTTTTTCGTTGTAACTTGGTTATTTGACGGCCGATTTTTAAAATTGATATGTCATTATTTTTGTCTTGAGAAGCTTCACTTTTCGTTCTTATGTCTTTTTAAGCTTTGAAGTCGCGTTCGCATGATAAGGGCAGAAACAAAATTTTACCCCCCCTAAAGTATATTTTTTTCCTTACCAAACGAAAGTACTTAAAAATTCAAGAAAATGTTGCCTTCAAACTATATTACTAAAATAATAAACAAAGGAGTTATAGCACTTTTAATATCACAGGTCAACATGAGTTTCAGATGTAAGTATAATAACACAGTACAACAAAAATTGATTTTTTTTATGCAACAGAGTAACCTAAATTTAAGGATTATGTTGAGAGGATTTCGAAATTTTTATTTTATTTTTTTTTTAACCCTTCGAAATACAGCCGAAAAGGTGTTTTCGTTGAAAGTTGGGTATTTGACGGCCGATTTTTAAAATTAACATGTCATCACATTTCCTTTTAAGCTATGAAGTCGTTTACCCATGGTTAGGTCAGCTAACAAAATTCGCCCCCACAAATTCCTCCAACAGTTTTCTTAGTTGGAAATTTAATCTCACTGCTTTCGTACCAATTTAGGTACATTTTTGCTACGATTTTTCCCAAATTCATACTCTTTGTTTTCGTCGCATCAGCAACCCGGGGAGTGCAAAACTGACGCTGTCAATAGCGAGCTAACCTCTTGTAATTTAATCATGCCAATAAATTTTATGTTGGGGTCTGAAATTATGACTTGCACCAAATACCCGGTAGGTTGTCCACACTATAATAGTTAATGTTATAAACAAAAACATATATTTTCCTTATCAGGTTGTAAGTGGTTTTGAGGCTATTGCTATGGGAGTTATTCCTGAAAATATTGGCTCTTGGGAATTACGCAATGATCAGCGTTATTTATTTGATATGGTTTTGGCAGTAAATAATGGTGAATGCGATGAATATCTCGCTAGTAAGAGCCCCGGTCCCGTCAGTACAGCTCGGTGGCTTACAACAGCTTCCAGGTTACTTCGGGTATATGTTTCCAAAGAAAGCCCGTCAGCGGAGTTGCGAAACATGGTAGAGTTTGTTGTGAAAGTTTATGCACCATTCTGGTTTCTTGTAAAGAGCCAGCCACAAGCAATTCATGGAAGTAGACACGTTTTTAAGTATATTTGCTGGATACGCGAACTATCAAATGCTGTTCAAGCCATTATACGTTCAGCTATAGAAAATAATGCATATTATTTTCACCCAGAAAATATATTATTAGCCATGATAACCGACGCTGATCCAGAGATACGTAATGATGGGTACGAAAAAATCAAAACAGCACGTCAATATCCACCAGCAGGGCTTCGCGTGTTCAAGGTCCCAAAGCGTGGCGTAATAAACTTTGAAAGTAAGTCGTATGTCAGCATGATCGATTGGAGTCAGTTTAAGATTACGGAACCCCCTTGTGTGCAGTTCTACCCAGATAGTGAACTTACAATGTTTCAATTTTCGGAAAATGAAGTGATAAATATCCCAGGTAAATATCTTCAAACTAAAAACTTCACGGGTCTTATAGTACTTTTAAATCATTTTTTTTTAGAGTTCCTCTGTCATTCCCAGAATACCGAACGGTTTGTGCGTGTTGTTAGTGAGTCTGCAAGTGCTGTCACTGATGAAAAGCGCCTGGGCCACATTTTTGCAAAATTAGAAAGCCGAGACCAATATAAAAGCCTTGATTCGCGCCAAAATTTGCTTAAGTAGCAATAAATATTGTAAGTGAAATAACTTTTTTGTTGATTATTTTAGTAATATAGTTTGAAGGCAAGAACGAAAAGTGAAGCTTCTCAAGACAAAAATAATGACATATCAATTTTAAAAATCGGCCGTCAAATAACCAAGTTACAACGAAAAAACCATTTCGGCTGTATTTCGGAGGGTTAAAAAAAAAAAATAAAAATTTTTCCAGAACCCTCTCAACATAATCTTTAAATTTAGGGGCGGACATTAGCAACTTTTTTTTTTTGTATGGGGACCGACCCAGTCTATAGCATACGCTAACCAAGAGGCAGTGAGGACGTTTATTCTTGGGTTAAACTCCAAATATACAAGCGGCACATTGTACAGCCATAACCCAGAGAATTTGGAATCGGCATATGCGATAGCCTGTACCATTCTCCATGACAATGAGAATGCGGAATTCGAGACACGGCCCAGACTAGGAAGTAACAGCAGACAGCATCAACACAGCACAAACCGAAACACCTACTCACAACATAAAGAGGAAAGATATTACAAGCCAAACGTAAGGATGCAGAATCACAACTACCAGGCAAGGAGTTTTAACCAACAACAACCACCACAGCGACAACAACAACCCACACCTACTCCAATGGACATAGACCAATCCAGACAATTCATGCAGACAACCAAGTACAATAATGCCGTAAGTCAAAATCCTTTTAAATCAAACCATGTATATAAAAGAGATAGGGCATCTAGCTACAATAACGCCACTTCTCCGCCAGATAGGAAGTTCCAAAGAATTAACCAATTAAATAGAGAAGATCTAGAGTCAGTGGATGTACCTAATTATGAAGAACAATTTGAAACAGGCAGTACTTTTTTAGGCGAATAAACGGGTTGCCTTGCTTAGAAACAAAATGCGGCCTAACCGGCACACCCGTTACCTTATTAATTGACACAGGCTCCACTAATAATTACATTAATATAAATTGTAATATAGGAAAATCTATTAAATTAAAACCATTTAAAACCAAAACCTTACATGGTTATTCAATTGTAAATTCTAAAAAAGTTATAACGATGTACGGGCATCATTTAACGTTCTATGAAATAAGGGAACTAAACGACTTTGACATGATACTCGGAGAACAGGGATTACGCCAAATGAAGGCAGAAGTTAGGTTATTTGACTATAGCTTGAAGTATCAGAAGAAGAAGATCCTGGCAGTAGAACCAAGGATTAATTATACAATAAATAACGAAAAATTTAAAGACCAGGTGGAAGAGCTAATGAATAGAAATAATAATACAAATGGTAAATTACCTTTTACAACCACAATACAAGCAGCTATCAAGACCGAATCGGAAGACCCTATATGGACAAAACAATACCCATATCCCATGTCCGATCACGACTTTGTCAAGAAAAAAATTGAGAAACTCTTAAACGACGGTATAATACAACCAAGCAAAAGCCCATATAATTCACCTATATGGACTGTACCAAAAAAGGGCACCGATGACCAAGGCAAGCCCAAACGGAGAATGGTTGTTGACTTCCAAAAGATAAATTCTCATACGATTACTGACAGATATCCAATTCCAGATATTAATATGACAATACAAAACCTCGGAAAAGCCAAGATTTTTTCCACAATAGATTTAGAATCAGGGTTTCACCAGATTTTAATTAAAGAACCTGATCGAGGAAAGACAGCATTCTCTGTCAACGGCGCAAAGTATGAATTTATCAGAATGCCCTTCGGGTTAAAGAATGCACCCTCCATATTTCAACGATGCGTTGACGACATCCTTAGAGAGTATATCGGAAAGTTCGCGTATGTTTATATTGATGACGTACTAATTTATTCATCTACACCAGAAGAACATATGGAACACATCCGGATTATAATTAACGCACTCCATAATGCTAACATGAAAATTTCTGACGAAAAGTCAAATTTTTTCCAAGATTCAGTTGAATACCTTGGACACATTATAAAACATAATAGAATTACGGTAGACCCAAAAAAAAAATCGAAACTATAAAGAAATACCCAAAACCAAAAAATTTGAAAGAATTGAGATCTTTCCTAGGACTTGCTAGTTACTACAGGAAGTTTATAAAGGATTTTGCTAAAATCACGAAACCTTTAACGATTAATTTGAGAGGAGAATTAGGAATGGTATCAAAAAATCAAAGTGCTAAAATACCAATACAATTAGATACAGCAGCCGAAGAAGCCTTGGAAAAAATAAAAAACGCTCTACAAGAGCAAGTTGAACTTTTCCAGCCTGATTTCTCTAAACCATTTAGTCTAACAACCGATGCTAGTAATTTCGCTATCGGGGCAGTTCTGTCACAAAATCGTCACCCGATCGCATTCATTTCACGCACTCTAAGTGAAACAGAACAAAACTATAGTACCAATGAAAAAGAACTACTAGCAATCGTTTGGTCCTTGCAAAAACTTAGAAATTATTTGTATGGTGTGGCAAACTTGACAATTTACACGGACCACCAATCGCTAATATTTTCAATTTCCGAAAAAAATCCGAATGCGAAATTAAAGCGTTGGAAAAACCTAATTGAAGAATACGGTGCCAAACTTGTATATAAACCTGGACACCAGAATGTCGTTGCAGATGCGCTTTCGCGACAACAAATAAATACTTCAACGAATTGTTCCGACCATTCGCAACAAAGTTCCCCTGTAGAAATTATGAAGAAAGTTAAACAACCACTTAACGCTTTCAGAAATCAAATAATTGTGTTACAAGATAATGAAAGGAATGAAGTCCTCAGTCAAACAATATTTCCTGGTCGGTTTAGACATACAATATTTTATAGAGAAACCCCGGACTTACTATCTAAACTTAAAGATGTAGTTAATCCAAAAGTTACTAATGCGATAAAGATAGATGAGGAAATACTGTTTCACCTAAAACAAGAAATTAGCTCCGCCTTCCCAAATTATAATCTAGTGCTAGCCCAAAATAAGTTAAACGACGTAACTTCTCCAAACGAACAAAGAGAAATTGTCACACAAACACATAAACGTGCACATAGGAACTACAAAAATAACACGCAAGAAATATTGTTGATTCATTACTGGCCCAATATTAAAGAAATGTGCCGTAAACTAGTCATAGGCTGTGAAATATGTCTACAGCACAAATACGAAAGGCAACCAAATAAACAACCTATTGGAAAAACTCCAATACCAACAAAAGTAGGAGAGTACATACAGATGGATATTTTCCATATTAATAATAAACAATACCTTAGTTCTACAGATAGATATTCCAAATACTGCTTCTTACGAAAATTGGACACAAAGACAAACTGCCACGAATACATAGAAGAAGTACTCACACAAGTCTACCCAAATGCCAAGTACCTCATGACTGATAACGAAAGTATATTTAAGAGCAACATAACGAAATTCTTGTACAGCCGGCTACAAATAACACACTCAGTTACGCCTGTACATCATTCAACATCAAACGCTCAAGTTGAACGGATACATAGCACTCTAATTGAACTTTGCCAAAGTTTAGCTGCAGAAAATAATACTGCTCCCGGTGACGAATTATTCAACGCAGTTCGCCAATACAATAGGACGATACACTCCACAACAGGATATAAACCCGAAGAGGTTTTTTACAACCGAGACAAATATCCTAATATCAAGGACATACTTGTGGATAAACAAGAGAGACTACTCAGGCACCATAATAAAAAAGGAAAACCATTATATACAAACCAGGTGATATAATTTATAGTCGAACAGATCGGCGTAATAAACTTGCAACTAAGTACAATAAACATAAAGTAAAAGAAGATCGTGGGGACACAATCCTAACAGCGAGGGGGAAAATCATACACAAGGATAGTATAAGGAAAACTAGCACACCATGCAACGAATAGGCTTCTTAATTTTAGTAATAGTTACTCACGGATTTTGCGATAAAATAACAGATTTGGCTGGTAAAAAATATGTTCTTACTGAACTAGATACTGTGTATACCTATGAGAGTTCATCATTTCTTTACCACGTGTCGAATTTATCCATAATATTAGAACCATATGAACGAATTGTGCGAAGCAAATATGAATCAACTCAAATCGATGAAAAAGATATAATAATTGATAAAATAGAAACTTTGAAATCACAATTAATACCATCCGAGTATCGTGCCAAACGTGGCCTCAATTTTTTAGGTTCCGCATTAAAATTTATAACAGGAATACCAGATCACGATGATCTTGTCGAAATTAAAACAGGAGTGAACCAGCTTATAGAAAATAATAACCAGCAAAGGAAAATAAATTCCCGCTTTGAAAAAATTTTAGCAAAATTAAATACAGAATCAATTTTTGATCAGTCAATACTTACAGAAGTATATAACGAACTAGTAACTATAACAAATACCATTAACTTCGCAAAAACAGGAAATTTCTATTCTGGCACACTTAATTTTAGAGACGTACAGCAGGTAATAAAAAACGAAATATATGACATTCCAATAATAAATGTACTAGAATATTCCGATATACACATATGTACCTCTAATAAAACTATTATTACAATCTATAAATATCCCATAATAACAAATAAATGTAAAATGTACAATTTAACCCCATTAGCCTTTAAATACGGAAAATATCAACTTCATAATAGAATTGCCTTGTGTAATAATAATTTCACCAATTTATCAAAATGCAAAAATTATGTAGGAATACATATTTGTAAAAAAGAACCAAGGGATAATTGTACTATTCCGTTGTTATTAAAACAAAAAGCCCATTGTAATATTATCCAAGAAAATAACTCTCCCTTACAAATGTTAGATAATGGTAATATTCTTATCGACAACGAACACACATGGAACGGAATTAGGGTAAATGGCCCACATTTAATCCAATTCAATTCCAATACAACTATTGATAATAAAACTTATATTAACCATAAGCAAGAAATAAAAAATGTAATACATGCTTATCAGAATGAAAGGGTTAATGTACTAAGAATTTTAAACTCTGAATCCGATTATAAATTTACTAATATACAA